TTATGGGAGTAATATAAGATTCAAAAGGAGGAATAAGAAATATAATTTAAGATATTACAGTAAATTAATAGTCTATAGAAAGTTCTTCATATTATACATTTATAAATAGTTGGTTTGCTTAAACTAAATAAAATTATTTAATGAAATAAAGTATTAATTATAATATGATTATTTAAGATATTATTAATCATATAAGTAGCTTTAGTTTTAAGGAAATGCTTAATTTATATAATTATATATTAATATTTTAAATGAGATTCAGAATTTATAAACCTATTTTTATTAATAAACTAACTCTTTCAACTATTTTATATAGACACAAATAACATTAAATTCAATATTTAATAACTTTCTCAGTTAAATTTCATCAAAATTAGGGTTTTATAAAATCAAACAATTTATTAATAATGCTTAATAAATAATAACTGATTAATAAGTCCTTATTAAGAATTTAGTAATTTCTGACACAAATAATATGCTAATCATTTCTAATAAATACAAGTTATTACATTATAAGCATAAATAATTTAAAATATTCAATAAGTTGATAGAGATTCATTTAATCCTAAATAAAACATATTATTAGATAGATAATACATTTAAATAATGTAATAATATCTTAAACTTTGAATATGATTTTAATTACAAACGAAAATCCTATAAAAGTTTTAAATATAATTACTTCTCAAATAATAACATTTAATGTATTAAAAGAAAATTATTTGAAATTAATTTCAGATGAATATAAAAATGATATAAATATAGATTAAAACTAAGAAAGTCTAACATACTAGGTAAATTTTATAGAATATCCTTCTTCTGTAATTAAACATGATAAAAACTTCCCTTACCCTAATACTCATCCTTTTATCATAAATGAAAAGACAATAACTTTTCTTTCAAATTAATAGTAAACACCAATTAATATTCCTTTATAAAACGTTTACAATTTACCTTAAACAGTAGATAATGTTGATGATTATTTTTGCATATAAAATATTTAGGACAAATGGATTGCTTAAGATTGTTTGCTTTTATATTAAAGAAATGATTAAAATAAAATTAATTAATTTATATGTTAATGTAAAACCCAAGGACAACAAACTCTTGTTAATGACATAAATGGGATATTTAAAAAAGCGATTTGTTCAAAATATTGGTATTTGCATGCGTCTATGTGGATTTTAGTTATTACTAGTATAATTTATATAATTTCATTTATTTATTTATAAAATATTTATAAAATTCAAGATTAATAAATTGAATAAAGTATGATAAAAAGAAACTAAATTAAAGATATAATTTTTAAAATAATATATCAGATGAAATAAGATAAAATTATTAACTAATATTTTTAAAAAAAATGAATAAATTATATAAATAGAACCTTAATATTTTGAGAAAACTCCAAATTAAAAATAAAGTATTTAAAATAAAAAATATTATTTATTATATCAAAATAATTTTATATTAAAATTAATTTACTAATTTTACCAAAAAAAAAATAATAATATTTGATAAATAATAATTACTAAATAATTTATTAACAACTAAAATCTTTTTTATTATTATATATTTTTTTTTAATTTAATTTTTACAGATACTTATGCTTAATTAAAATAAAAGAAAGAGTTTTTACAGAGTAATTAGCAAATGAAATCCGAAATTTTAAATGAATTATAATATTAAAATACTGCAATAAAAAATGAAAATGATGCATAATCAAATAATACATTATAGAACCTATAATATCACTAATCAAAATAGTAACAAAGAATCTACTTATTAGTATAAACAAATGATAAACATATTAATAGATAATATATCAATTTTAATAAAAGAATTTAAATAAATATTACAATTAGATAATATAGAAGATTTTATTAAAATTAAGATTAGAAAATTACATTCTTAATAATAAGTTTAAGTTGGTATATAAACAACTAACTATGAAAATGGCTTATAACCTCAAAACAATTACTATAAAGCTTAAAATGCGAAAAATTATTTGGTTAAAAACAAAAATCATGTTTAGATTAAAAGAAGAAATCATGTTTAGATTAAAAGAAGAAAACGTTAAATTAGTTTAAATCAATTATAAAATCTATAATTAGATAAAAATATAATAAACGACTAAAACTACGAAGAAAATTTAAAGTTATTTTATAGTAATATTTATTGATATTTTTATTTACTAAATTACTTCTGCATTTATTTAATATAAGTTAATATAATAATTAGATAAAAAAAATTAAATAAAAAATATTCATGGAAAATATATTTGTTTAATATTTTTAATATAGAAAATTAAATAATGAATATTATTAAAAAAAATATAGACTATAACAACATTTGAATATGATTTTATTTGTTTTAGGTTAATAAATAGAAAATAATTATATATGTTTTAATTAAGTATATATATAATATTAAATTTTTAAATTTTAAATTTTATCGTATATATTTATGTATATATAATATTTAATATTAAAATTATATAAAATATAAAAGTAAAAAAATGTAATATTATAAAAAATAATATTTTAAAAAAAGATTAAAAGAATAATATTATATATGTATTAAAATTATTACTTATGTATTATTTATTAATTGATATTTATTATTTATTATTTATTATTTATTATTTATTATTTATTATTTATTATTTATTATTTATTTTTTATTATTTAATATTATTTATTTTTATAATTTTTTTTTTATTTATTTATTATTAAAAAAAAGAAATATATAAAATTTAATAATATTTTTTAATTATAAATTAAAAAACATTTATAATTTTAACTATTTAAATAAATAAATGGAATAATAGAAAAATAATAAAAAAATAAATATATTTTAAAAATAGATATTTAAATTCACATTTTTATTAATTTATTTAAAATTGTTAAATAATATAATGTTTAGTTATTATTATATATTATTTTATATTAAATTTAAAATGACAAAATATATAAATAATTTTAAATTTAAAATACATATTATATCACAAATATTTAATAATATTATATTTAATTTATAATTTTTATTTTAATAAATAAAAATTATATTAATATTAATTTTTTTTATTTTATTTTATTTGTTCTTTTATTATTTTTTGAATACAATATAAAATAATAAGATTTTTATGCATATTACTTGCAAATATTCTTATATTAATATTTTTTTTTTTTAAAAAAAAAAAGTAATTAATTATTTTATGAAAAATAAAAAAAAAGTAAATAAAATAAATTAAAATATTTAACTAATAATTCAATTTTCTTTTTTTATTTTTAATTAAATCATGAATATAATGATTAATTTGATTTAAAAAGACTAAATAAAATGAAATTACATTAATATTTAAAATATTATAAAATTTATTTGTTATATTAAATTTAAAAAATATATAAATATTTAAAATATATCATAAAGTAGATATAAAAAATTATTTATTTTTATGAGAAAATATATATTTATTCATATAATACTAGTTATAATTGATTTTATTTTTTTGTTTTACTTTTATTTAAAAAACTCTATTAACTAACAAAAATGTGGTAGGTCAACTGTATTTCTTATTAATAATTTGGAAATAAAAAAATATTTTTTTTTTAAATTAATAAATGATAATTTAATATTTTTTATTCTTTTTTATTTTATTAATTTTTTCTAAACTAAAAAAATTATTAATAATAATATAAACTCGTAATATATCTAATTTTTTTATATTATATTTTCAATTACCATTATATTATAAAATGTATTAAAGTTAAGAAGAAATCAAAAATTTAATAGAATATTAAACAGAAATTATAGATTCATATTTGATTTCAGATAATAAAGAATTAGCAATATAATATGCTAAAAATTATGCTGTATTTTTATTTTTATTTAATAATTTTTTTTTTTTCAAATGAAAATTAGCTATCTCTTAAAGCATAAAAAATAAAAAATTATAGTAAGAAAATATGTCCTTTTTCTGGTAAATGTTATGAAAGAGAGAAAATGAATTTATTCTCGGAAAATATAGAACTCAATTTTTTAGGATCAGGTTATCCTATGTATTTCGAATATCTTAAAGGATGCATTGTTATATTATTAATGCTTTTTTCGACAAGTGGAGCTTACAATTTATTTTCTAATTATTACTTTGGCGAAGATTGTAAAAATATGAATTAAATCAAAAAATTGATTGAAGAAGATGATGATCATATTATAGATTAAATGTGTTAGCTTACTTGGACGACTAAAATGTCTTTTGCTAATAAAATTTCTGATTAAAAACTTATTTTTTTATAAGATATAATGAACTTCATATCTGTTTTTACAATAATATTAGTTTTTTAATACATTAGGACTACATAAAGGACCATAAATGAAGAATGCGATTAATATTTAATTTCAATTGCAGATTATAGTTTATGGATTTAAGATATTCCTTAATTTAATAAAAATGTAAAATCAATTAAGAAGTCTATTTATGATTAACTAAACGAATAATTGAAAGAATATTATTTTAACCTTGGATAAGATATCTAATATCCAAAGAAATATATGGAAATTGCAAAAATAACAGTTGGTTATAACTTAAAATAAACAAATAAATTGAATAAGCAATATAATTTATTAATAAAAAATCTTGTTAAAGAAAAATAGAAAAATAAAAACTCTGAATTAATTTAAAATATTTAATAATAGTTAAAATAAATAAAATAAAAAATAAATAAAGAAAAAGAAAAATATTACGATGGTGAAGTAGATAATAAATTATTTAATGGACATATATTTATATGTTTTTAAAGAGAATAAGGCATTATTTAATATAAAATAAAAAATAATAATAAATAATAAATAATAAATAATAAATAATAAATAAAAAATAATAAATAAATAAAAAATAATAAATAATAAATTATAAATAATTTTAATTATATATATATATATATATATATATATATTTATATATATATATATATATTTATATATTATGTTTTTTAAAGATAAAGAAGAAATTTTGAAAAATTAAATTTTTGGGAATAAAAATGCATTAAAAATAAATGGATAATTTGTTCGAATTTAAAAAGCACCAGAGCCAGAAGATATAAACTGGAATGCTCTTTCATGTAAATAATCTCAATAATTCAAGAAAAGAGTTTTTTCAGCTTTATTTACTATATTTTTACTATTTTCTTCTTTTTCTATTATATATTATTTAATGAATTTATAAGTAAACTTTAAAGAATAACCTCCTTTTCCAGAAGAAGTTTATAAAATGAAAATGCTTGCCTTGACTATTTCAATAGTGATTTAAATTTTAAATTTTCTACTATAAAAAGTATTAAACTTTTTATCAAGGTTTAAAATAAAATTGAAAAATAATTAATAAATTTTATATTATATAGTTTTGAATAACACTATACAAAAACAAAAGAACTATCATCTTTATCTCAAAAGTTGGCAATCGTATAATTTATAAATACTGCATTAATTGCTTTATTAATAAAAGTTTTATAATACTAATTAAATAATCCTGAAAAAGCTAAATCTAATATATATATAAATGGTGGTCTCATATATAATTAGCAATATGTATTTCTTTCTTCTCTTTTCTTTCCATTCATTTAGCTTGCTGACTTTGGAAGGCTTTATAAAGTATTAAAAAGAAAAATAATTTAAAAAGATAATCTAACTTAAGCACAATTAAATGAATTATATGAAGATTCAGTCCATAATATAGCTTACGATTATGGAGGTGTAATTAAGACTATGTATGTAACAGCGTTTTATGCACCTCTTATTCCTATAGGGATAATAATATCTATATTTAATATTCTTATTAATTATTTTATTCAAAAATATTTGCTTTTAACTCACAGAAGTGTTAAATATTCAGTTAGTGATTGTATTTCAAGAGATATGATTGAATAATTAGAACATCTTCTTCCGATTTATTGTGTAATAAATAATATTATAAAATATATTTGCATTTTTTTAAAAAATAGATTTCTAATGCATTATTTCAATATTTATTAAAAGATGGCTAGAATATTTCAAATTTCGGATATGCAGGTATATTTATTAGTGCAATTCATGTTATTTTACCAATGAGAAGTTTTAATGAATTTTTCTTTTATGTTAAAAAAGCTCCAGATTTGCACGAGACTTATAATGAAAATTACTTAAATTTTTAATTCGTAAATAAGATATATATTTTTTATAATAAATTAAAATATAGGACTATGATAGAGCAAATCCAGCTACTAATCAAGTTGCTAAAAAAGAATTTGTAGATGGAAAAAAATAAAAAAAAGTTATATATTAATGGTAAAGTGTGTTGCTTGCTAACTAAAAATAATTTTAAAATTGAATTATTAGATAAAACATAAATAAAATTTTTCTATTAAATATTTTTTAAATAAAATATGCAAATATTAAATTTTTAAAAATATCTTTTTTTTCTTCTATTTATATTTTTTGATAATTATAATTTTTTTATTTTTAATAAATATAATTAATATTAATAACAAAAAAAAAATTATATTTTTCTTATATAAATAAATTTATGATTTTTTTATTTATATATTAATTATTAATTTTAGATATTTTTTTTTGTTTCAAAAACTTAATTAATAAAAAAAATAAAATTATGTTAAAATATATATTAGCTTTATTTTTTATAAATTTACTTCAATTTAATCTTAAATTCTTAGCCATATTAATTTTTAAAAAGTCTGAATTTTACTAAATTTATCTATTTAATCTTTGTTAATTAGAATTATATTTACTAATAAGCTTCTAATATAAAAGCAATATCAATATTTTAACTTTTGCACTCTTAGATAATAACTAAATTAATCATCAAATCTTTTAAAATCACTATAAATATTTCAAAATCATTGCATATGTCCGCAAAAAGAACTTAAATTTACTATCATTAATTTATTTTTTCAATAAATATATTTTCAAATATTTTAAATTATTTATCTATATTATATAAATTATTAGATATTTAATATTTGTAAATAATAAATAATTTTATAATTCTTAATAGTTATACATGAAATTTTTTAAAATTGAAAACAATATTATCAATTTTTATACTTTTTTTGAGCTATTGAAAATTATATATTCATAAAAAAAATATTAAAAAATTAAAATAAATAATATTGAATACTTATTTTTGTTTATTCATTTGTAAAACCTATGCCTATTTTCTATTTACTTCCATTTATAATAGATAACAGCGTAATTTAAGGTATTTTTATAAGGTTTTAATGCTTTTTCTAATGATCTAATGTGAATTAATATTATTTGATAGCGTAAAAAAAAATAAGCAAAATCTAAAACAATAAAATATATAACTTATATCAATATTAAACATTTAAATTTTCATATAAATATAGATCTTTTAATATTAAACAAAAAATTTTTGTATATTAAATGAATTAAAAATCAATATTAATATATAAATTTTAAATTTAAACTAATGAAATTATTAGAAATATAAAATTTATATCAATTATAATTTTTTATTGAATTATTTTTTTTTTTACTAAAAAAAGAAATTTTTTTAATTATTAAAAAAAAAATATAAAGTTTTTTTTTTATAAAAGAAAAGAAAAAAATTAAATTTATGTCTTAACTTTAAGTTGAAAATAGCAAAAAGAAATAAAATTGTAAATAATGTTCATAATCTATATAAAATAAATCTCTTTAATTTTCTAAAATTCAAGGAAAAAATACTTTTTATTATCATCCGGCTTGCGTTTTTTCTGAGCCTAAATTATTAAAAAAAAATATATCTTTAGAAGAAATTAAAGGATTTGAAGATATTTCTAAAAAAGATTAGAAAAGTTTGCGTGAAATATTCAAAAAATCATAAAAAACTTAAAATTCGGTTGATTAAGAATAAAAAGATGATAAACAAACAAAGTAATCTAAACGATTAATAGATAAAAAAGATCAAAAAAAAGAAAAAAAAAAAAACAAAGAACCTTAAGGATATACAGCAGAAGAATTAGTAAAATTTAAATAGTATAAAGAAGAATTAAAAACAAAAACGAATGACTATTTAAAAGCTCTACTGAGAAAAAACTAATAATTAATGGCTGGATCAAAAGATGAATTGATTGAAAGAGTTGCCGATAGAAAAACTTTGGGAAGTATTCCTAATTGTTCTAAGTGTGGAGGTGGAAAACTTAAATTTGATATGTAAAAAGGAGAGTATTTTTGTAAAGGATTTATGGAAGATACTACTTTTAGATTTTGTAGGGCAAAGTTTTCTAAAAATGAAGTCACTAGATATGATTTTAATGATATTTGAATATTTATTTTTATTTTATTCAAAAAATTAGAATTTTTATTTTACCAGAATATCTTTTTATTGATATAAAATATATATTTTTTAACTAAAAAAAATATTTTTTTAATTATTAAATTTTTTTTTTTTTTGTCAATGATTATAAAAATAATATTTTTTATTATTAATTTTTTGTTTTTATAAAATATGAAATTTTATTAAATAAATAAGTTTTAAAATTCGAACAAGATCGAAAAAATTAATCTTTATAATTATTTAATCTAAATATAGATAAATTACGTATAGAGTTAAACTTAGAATTTTAAAATATCTTAAAAAGTCACAAAAAGCATATAGATTTGGTAAAAATAGTAAGTTAAGACTAATTTTTTCTTAATAATTTGTCTTTTTATAAATAACTCATTTAAATATTTGAAATATAATTGACCAATAAATTATAAGAGAAATGTAATTTTATTTAATAAGCTTATCTGAAAAAATAGATATTATTTATTGATACCTAAAGAATTATTTACAGAAGTGATTTAGATGATTAATTATAATTATCTTAAATGACTAAAGTAAAAAAAAATATATGAAAATTAAAAGATAAACTTAATATGTAATTTATCAACATATAATATCTGTATTTGAAAAACAAAACAAACACTAATCGAATATTTTACTGGGATTTTTAATTGATATATAAGCTTATAAAAAATTCTATAATAAAAAGAATAAAGAAAGAAAGAAAGAAAGAAAAATATTTAATTTTTTTAAATATTTACGTAATTTTTAACTATTTAAAAAAAAAAACGAATTAAAAATGAGAAGATTTTTATTTTTTATAAAAAAAATCAACTTAAAATAATGTTCTATCAAGTGTTTTATTTTTATATATAAATAATATTACTATTAAAAAAACGATTATATTCAAGATATACATAAAAAAAATTAAAATATATGGGAAATAAACTATTATTTGATTGATAAAAATTTTAAATATATTAATATAGAGTATAAAAAGTTTAATTAATAAATTATAAATTTTAAATAAAGCTATTATATTTGAAGTAATTTTAAACAGTTTACACAAAAAAATAATTAATTTAAAAATTAAAAAAAATAGACTTTTTAAGTAATTTGTCTTAAATATTAAAATAAAATAAAAAAAAAAAAAAATTGTAAATAATGGATATATAAATATTTAATGTCGAAAATTAAATAAAGTAATATTAAAAATTTGTTAATATTAAAATTTTAAGTATTTATTAAAAATTTAATCAACTAAAAAGAAAATAAAGAATAATAGGATTTTTAATTAATTGATTATTAGATTATTATTTTATTTGAAAAATAAAAATAAATATATATATTAAAAAATATAACAATAATATATATTTAATATATATATATATATATATATATATTTTTATTCTTATAAGTAATATATATTTATTATAATATATTCAATATTAATAAAAAAATTATTACTAATATAATAAATATAAAATTATAATTATTTCGGTTATTTTAGTTATATATATATTTTACTTTTTCTATTACAAAAATATTAATAATTGCTATAATTTTTTTTTTAAACAATATTAAAAAAATATCCTCAATATTTTTTTTTTACTTCTTTTATAAATTTTGAAATAACGCAAAATTTAAAAAAAAAAATATAAAAAAACAGTATCTGCAATATCATAAAAAAATAAAAAATAAAAAAATAATCTAAAAACAAAACAAAAAATATATAATACCAGAATTATAAATTAAATAATAATAATCTTAAAATTTAAAAGAATATTAATAACATATGTTTAAGAAATTAGTATTTATATTAATTATTTTAATAAATATTGTATTATTATGTGATCGTTCATGTGATTGTGAAAGTAAAATAGCACCATTATACTGTACATCATGTAAATCTCCTTATGCTGAGATAAACTCAAGCTTTATTTCTTGTACTTGTTAACAAGGATATTCTCCAAATAAAAGAACAGAAAAAAATTTTGAATGTATAGAAACTTTATAACTTTATACTTAATAACAAGAAGAATGTGATTTATAATTATACAAATACATTAAATCTATAGTAGTATCAAACAATTGTGCAGTTATATCTTAAACAAACTAATAAACATAATAATAATTAGTAAGAAGTATTTTAAATTTCGACTTTTAAAGAACTACAATGTCAAAAGATTGTTATTATAAATTAAAGAGTTCTCTTTTAATAAAAAAGAATGCGAATATCGGTTATGAACCTTTAGATTAATAATATTATAGTTTTTAAACTGGAACTAGTATAATAATAGATATTGATGTATAAAAAGCATTTGAATTAGCATTAATAACAAAAAATGAAAATAAACATATATATCACGAATTATATTTTGGATTAGAATTAGGTTCAGAGTCCTAAGTACTTAGACTACATGAATTCAAAATTACTCTATATATAAATGATAATTTAGTTTTTGTAATGTAAAATGATGTAAGCTTTTAAATTACTGATAAATGCCAAAATGCAAAAAGCGATTGTGTAATTATAACTGATATAGATACTTAAGGCTTTATTTGTTAAGATAAAACTTGTAAAAATACTAGAGATAATAATAAATTTTAAGTTGGAGATCAAATGTTTGTTAAAATTGCTTTTAAAGATAATTCTTATACAAGAAAATTAGATTTGACTTAAGCTCTTTATAAAGGTACAAATGTTCTTTATAATATTTATGAATAAACTACTGTAATTTCTTAAAATCCTGGAGAAATTATACTTGCTTTGCTACTTTCATAAATAGGTAATGATTCGACTGTCCAATTTGGATTATAAATAAGTCCTTACGAAAAAAGAATAAGAAGATTAGTTGGTTAAAACTAATAGCAAAGTGTTAATTAAAACTTCTAAATTAAAGTTTTGCCTAAAAATGCATTATCTGATGATATATAAAATAACATTTCATTTAAATTAGTAATTTCTGTAGGATTATTTACTTTGTTTTTTATTTGAAGTAGATAATTAAAATGCTTATTTTTTTATTTTTTTTTATTTATTAACAAAATTAAAAATAAAATTAAAATATTATTATAATATAAAAATGTATTTCCTAATATATATTTATAAATCTGTCTTAATTTAAATATAAATTTTATAAATATCTGATTTTAAACTTTTTTTAGAATTAATTTATTTTAAAAATATAGTATTTTCTAAAATAAATAATAATATTAAATTTAAATTTAAACAAAAAATATAGAAAAATCTAATCAAATAAGCAATTCGTAGATATATTATTAATTATGTTCATTAAGAATAAAAATATTTTATTATCTATACTTTTTAAAAATTGTCATTTTTTATATAAACAAAATAGGATTTGTTAATTTATATATTAGTAATGCATTAATATTATTTTATTCTATAGTATTAATTTTCTAAGTTAATAAATATTATAATCATCTAATTATTCTTTTATAAAAAAGAATTACTTTTATCTTCTATTTTAAATTTTAAAATATTTGTTTTGTTTTTGATTAAATTTAGAAACATAATTTTATTTTTTTACAAATTTTTCCAAAGTTATTAAAATCATTTAATATATTTATATTTTTTGTATGACTACTGATATTTTTTAATTATTTATTCATTAAAATATTTTATATTTATTATTTTTTTAGTAATAAGTTATGATTTATATAGATATTGGAGAGAATGAAAATCATAAAATATAATTTTTTATATTACTTTTTTAAATATTTTAAATTTATTTTTTACATTTTAAGTAGTTTAAGGACAATTAATTATATTATAAGCAGTTTTATAAGTTTTAAATGGAAAAAAATTTTCGAGTTTCTTTACTTACTCACGCATTTAATTATTTAATTTTTTTTTAATTTATTTTCTTCTTCAAAAAATTACTTTTATTTAAATATATATGAATTTGCGCATTATTTAATAAAAATTAAATTTAAGGTAATTTTTATTTAAATAAAAAATATAAATTAGGTTATTGATAAAAATAATTTTATTAAATCATTAAAATTTATATTTAAAAAATGTAATAAACATAATAAAAATAATATAATAATAATATTTTTGTTAAAGAAAAATATATATGTTAGAATATATATTTATTTATATTCTTTAAAAACTATTAAATTTAAGTAAACCAAAATGATAATTTATAATAAATTAAAATAATATAACAATAAATAAAATAAAATAAAAAAAAATAAAAAAATACTATGAATTATTAAATAAATAAAAAAAAAATTAAATTTATATAAAAATAACTAAATTATAAAAAATAAAAAAATAAGGGCAATCTAAAATGATAAATAATAATGACTAATAAAAAATTCCTCCAATTAATTTAAAAACCTCATTTACAGATGTATCCCATATAAAAAATAGTAAAAGTTCTTTTGTATTAAACAAAGAATAAGCAAGCAAAAAGTATTCATCATAAACTGATCGAATTCAGTTAATTTAAAATACTGAAAAAACTGCAATAAAACAAAAAACAAGCAATAGCAATATAAATAATATGTATTTAAATTAAAAAACTGTTGAGTAAATAAATGATTTAAGTATGAGCAAATATGATTCAAAAGGCTAATAAATATTAACTAATTTAATATTAAAAGAAGAGGAATGTGTAAAAATATTAGAATCGAGATGCGATAAAGTAAGAGAATTAGCAGAAGTCTTATATTATCAAGCATCTCATGTAGACTCTAGCATGCAAAAAAAAATAGACATATAAAAAATCAAAGAAGCATTGACTTCTTTATCTTATAGTTTAGTATAAGCTTCGCAAAACGAAATTAATCTTGGATCTAAACTCAGAGAAAAAGAAAAATCAAATATTGATATTAGTCAATTAAAAAAATAAAATCAAAACTATAAAGAAAAAAATGCAGAGCTTCTAAAAGTAATAGATAATCTTTAAAATAGAATAAAATTATTTTAAGAGGAGAATAATAAACTTCAGATACTATTAAATATTGAAAAAAAATCATCAAAAGACAATTCGAAAAAGGTAATATCTTTAGAAAAGAGAATTGAGTTTATTTTAGAAAATGACATTAATGTTAATTTAAACCCAAGTGATAAATTAAGAGCAAGTTTAAATGAACTTTTGAGAGAAAACGAGTCTTTAAAGCGTGATTTAACACACAAAAATTAAGAAATAGAAAGAATAATGGGAAATATGAAAAAACTAAACGGTTATGTTTCTCGATTGAATAAAAAAATTGAAAATTTATAAATTAATACTTCTGGAAAAAATAATTAAAAAGACAAAAACAGTAATAACGGGGATGATAATGACAAAAAAAATAATCTATTCAAAAAAGATGATATTGATTTACTTGCGAACTTTATAATTCCATAAAATCTTGATTTTAGAATAGTCAGTTTAAATTCAGAATATGCAAATTTAATTAGTGATTTGCTAATTTTAGGTGCACCTGCATTTACAAAATATATTATTAATGTTGAAAATTAAGACGAGAAAAAAAATCTAGTAAATCTTATTACAAATTAATTCGTTTCCTATAAAGATATTAGCGAAAGATTAAATTAGATATTCCATTAAATGAATGAAGTATAATAAATGAATGATATTAAGGATATTATTATGTATGCTAATACTAATTTTGCTTAAATTTTTAATGCTTAAAGATGTCATTTATGGATTGTAGAAAAGTAAAGTGGATTATTGTAAACTTTTATAGGAAACGCTATTACTATAAAATGTATTATTAATAAAGGATTAATTGGGGATGTATTTTATAAAAAGCAAGCGATTAATTCTAAAACTGCTAAATGTAAACCTCTGTTATTTAAAATTCAAAGTAACAATATTAAATAAAATATATAATATATATATATATATATATATAGATATAAATATATATATATATATATATGTATTTAATTTATTATTTATCTATTGAAGATGGAATAAATAAAGAAGAAACTGAATATGTTGATTGCACTTTATTAATTCCTATTTTTTGTGATATTGATAATAAATATATTAAAGGTATTTTAGAAATAAGTAATTCTTAAAATGATTTGTTTAGTTTTGATGAAGAATATTTAGGAATAATTCTTTCATATAATTTATCTTTTATAATAAGAAATATTATTTTAAGATAAGTAAATTAAATTATACTTTTAAATAGAATAAAAAAAAAAAATATTATAAAAGACTTTGGAAAGTGAAATTAAATTTAGATAATTATTATTTGATGCTTATGAATAATTTATTTAATGCAAAGATAAATGGCAATTTACTATAAAAGTTTAATAATGGATTTAAATGATATTCGGAGTTAATCTCAGTGTATTTTATTTTATTGAAGATTCCAAAATGATTTCATATGCTTAAAATAAAGAAAAATAAATATTTACATATAATCATGGATTAGCAGGAATGGTGGCAAAAGAAATGAAACCATATATTATTCATGATATTAAATCAAATAATACTTATAATTAACTTGTTGATTTAACAAGCATTCTACCTATTTATGTAGTTCCTTTAGTTAGTAATGAAAAAAAAGAAGTTTATGGAGTAATTGAAATAGCATTAAAAAACTAATACAAGTCGAAAAAAGAAAAAAACAGTTTACTTGATGGATATAATTCTTCATACGGAATGGATGAAAATTTAACAAATATTTTTAATTAGTTTGCTTCTTTAGTTATGCATGCTATAAAAAATAATTTTTTTAATTGAAAATAAATATATAGTTTATATTAAGTGTTCCATGATATATTTTTGATTAGCAAATATAATTTGTTTAATATTTTTTTTTTTTCTTGATTTTTTTTTTATTTAAACTTAATGAAAAAGAAAATGTTAAAAAGATTTTTATTAAAAATCTTAAATAAAAAAAGATAATTAGATATTTTATATTATTAATATTTTTTTTTTTAAAAAATGAAATAATATAAATATAATAAAGATAATTAAAGATTTAAAAATAAATAAAAAAATATTAAAAAAATTTAATTTAAAAAATTTAAAAATATAAAATGATATATAATATTGAATAAATATATAAATATATAAATATATAAATATATAAATATATAAATATATAATATATATAAAAATTTATATTAGTATTTTATCACATTTATATAAATATTTTTATTTTTTCTATAATTTTTTTAATTTAATTTTAAATCTATTATTATAAATATGTTATTATTCAATTTTAAAATTTTCCATTTATTTTAAATTTGATTTAATTTTACATATATATTATTAATATATTATTATATTTTTTTTATTATACCATTATTAAAATTACTTCAATCAATTCTTTTTATTTTTATTTTTAATGAATTTAAAATAATAAATTACCCCTTGCTCTAAAGCTATTTAAAAAATAGGTTAAGAAATTTTTTCTGAAACATTTAATTAAACTTATAATTAATTATATAACAACACCTAGATTTCATAGAATATAATAAATAATAATAACTATAATTAATAAAATTTAAATGAAAGCTTAACCTTAATGTCAAATACAACAGCAGCAACAAAATAATTTTTAAATTAAATATCTAAAAAAATTATATAATAGTATATTCATCCTATTGATTATGAACAAGGTGAAAGTATTTGTAATTATCGTAACTCTTTTACAAATGAAATATTAGACGAAGAAGTTTTTGTTATATAAACTCATCTAAATAAAAAACCCAAAGGGTCTAAAATATTATGAGAAAAATAAAATTAGGATTAATATTAATAAATAAAAAACTTAGATACAGGTATAATAAATTATATATATAAAATAAAATATTTTTAAAAATAAAATACGAATAAATAATAATAATTGAAATATTATTTATTATTTTCTAATTAAAATATAGGATAGTCAATAGATATTAGAAATGAAAAAGAAATAGACGATTTTTTTTCTTAAATACCAAAATTTAAAATTCCGTATAATTTAAAGTGGATTGAATGGTGGGAAAAAAAAAAACTAAATTAATTAGACTTTAAAAATGCTTGTAAATTAAATATGACTGAAAAAATTATAGAAATATTACAATAAAATGATTAAAAAGACCTTTTTCCTAATATAAATATATCAATTTAAAATGGTTGGAAGCCTCTTCATTATTTTGCTCACTTTGGAAATGTTTAAATATGTAATCTTTTGATAAAATTAGATGCTGATTTAGAAGATTTTAATAATTATTAATAAACACCCTTGATTTTAGCTTGTTTATAAAATTAAATAGAAACTGTTAATTATCTTATTTCTGTTGGGGCTAATATTAATACATATGATTTTAATTTTAATACGTGTTTGCATTACGCATTTATCAATGAAAATATGGAAATGATAAATTTATTAATATTAAAGCCTAATATTAATTTATATTTTAAAAATTAAAATGATAAATATGCTTGGTAAATGTCAAAAAATAAATAATTATATAATTATTTTATTTAACTAAAAAACTCTAAAATGCTAAAATAAAACTATGCTTTGGAAGTGGAAGAATTTTAAGAAGACTAATTATAGATGATTTTCTCTAATAATCAAAGTTTTGCTTAATAAGATTTGACTGAAATAAATTAAAAAACTTATTAAAATTAATATTAAATATTAGGTTTATTAGGAAAAGGAACTTTTGGAGAAGTTTTTTTGATTTAAAACAAATTAACCCAAAAATAATATGCACTTAAAATGATTTAAAAAAAAATAGTTATTTAAAATGATATGTTTTAATATGTTTTTACGGAAAAAAATATTCTTTAGAAATCTGATTTTCCATTTATCATAAAGTTACATTAAGCTTTTTAAACTCCAGATAAACTATTCTTTGTATTAGAAAATGGTGTAAAAGGCGATTTATAACAGCACTTAACTTGTGAAAAAAGGTAATTTTTTAATAATTTAATATATATAATTTAATTAAATTATTTGTGAAGATTTAGTGAAAAAAAAGCTAAATTTTATGCAGCAGAGGTTTTATTATCATTAGAATATTTACATAATAATGATATAATATATCGTGATTTGAAGCCTTAAAATGTATTGGTATGTGAAGATGGTCATATAAAACTAACTGATTTCGGACTATCCAAAGAAGGAATTAAAGAATATGAATAAGGAGCAAAAAGTTTTTGTGGATCAGTAGCTTATATGGCTCCAGAAGTTTTAAAAAACTAAGGACATGGTAAATCAGTTGATTTTTATTAATTTGGAATTTTCATATACGAAATGTTAACAGGGTATACACCATTTAGTGGTCCAGATGAGTATTTATTTATATATTTTGTTTTTATATTTATAATAATATTTAATTAAGAAATACCATTTATATGAACATATAAATTGGTTAATTAAAGTTTCCTAATTATATTTCTAGAACTACAAAAAGCCTTTTAACAAAAGTAATTATAATATATATTTTTTTAAAAAAAAGAAACAAAAAAAGTTATTATCAAAAGATGCTAGATTCAGACCTACTCCGAATTAAATTAAAAGACATCCTTATTTTTCTGGCTATGATTGGAGAAGTGTTTATTTAAAGTTTCAAAAAATTATATAAATAATTAGTTTTTTATTCTAATTAACAGAAAATTATAGCCTCCAAAAGTATTTGTTCAAAAATAATAAATTAGACCAATCGATTAATAAAAATTAGATGAATTATTAAATCCGAAAACATAAAAAGATAGTTTAATTTAAAACGATTAGATATAATTAAGAAATTTTAATTAATGGAGCTTTTAAGAATAAGTCTGAATTTCAATATAAAATATTTTAAATTTCTAAAAATAATTAATTTTTGATTATATTAAAATTAAATAAAAAATAAAACATATATTCATCTAAAAAATAATAATTTATTATTAACATTTATTTTTATAAATAGTTTTTATATATTAAAAAATTATATTTTACATAAAATATTTATAAAAATAAATTAATATAATAAAATCAAAAAAAAATCATTAAAAATTAATTCTTATTTTCGTTTACAATTTATATATTAATCAATCATATTCTTCATCTAAGCTTAGATTTAAATGTGGATTTTCTATTCCTTTTAAACAATTTTTTATCATTTTTTCTTTAAATTATTTTAGTGCAGATTACACGTTTTTAACTTTTTTAGTTGCAACATCTTGTAAATTTAGAAAAAAAAAAAAAAAAAAAAAATTATTTTCAAATAAAATACCTTTTAAAATAGGTATTAAATCTAAAAGTGCTCTATCTTAAGGATCTCCATACCAAGATTAAATACAAATTCCGTTTTCAGGTTATAATTAAAAATTTTCAACTGTATTATCAATAATAATAACTTTATTTAAATCTCTCCCAATCACAGTCAAATCCTTTTTTATATGTAAAATTAAAATGTATAAAAAATAAATACTTTTATATATGTTCCATTATAAGTTAAAGTATGTTAACGATATAATTTATGAGCAATTGATTTTTTAACATCTATTATATCTAAAATAAAATTAGCATAATCATTTAAAGCAGCAGTAAAAATTATTATTTCGTAAAATTTTGCCATAGTTTCTAAAAATAATTCTGCATAAGGCCTTACTAAAAATTAACCACCGCCTTCTTCTAATTCTTAATAATGTACTAAGGTTTCATCTAAATCTAACACTAAAGTAAATTACATTTTAGAAGATTCTTTTATATATGTAATAGTATCAATTTAACCTTTTTCTTGTATTTATTATTATTATTATTATTATTATTATTATTATTATTATTATTATTGCTATTGCTATTGCTATTGCTATTGATATTGCTATTGTTATTCCAATTGCTATTGCTATTGCTATTGCTATTGCTATTGCTATTGCTATTGCTATTGTTATTATTATTATTATTATTATTATTATTATTATTATTTTTGTTATTTCTATTAGTTTATATTATCTTCTTCTAATATTTTATTATTATTTTTTTCAGATTATTATAAGTTTTTATTTTATTCCTAATTATTTTAAGTTTCCATTTAATTATATTTATTTTTGTTTTATTCGTTTTTTAGCACATTATCTTTTTCTTCATCCTAATCAATTTTTAAATTATTTTTTTGTTTTTTTTGAAATAGTATATTTTTTAAAAATTCTTCCTATAATATTTTTGTCTTTTTTTATAAAATAAATATACTTTTCAATATTAAAATATATTTTACATTTTATTCTGATATTTATTAAGAAAATTATATTATTTCATTAATTTAATATTAATAAAATTTTTATAAAATCTAAAACAAATTTTAATAAATTTATTCTTAATTTTAATTTTGAATTTAACATTCGATCCTTTATATTTTAATCTTTTATATATTTTATTTTTTATATTTACATAATTTAAAGTAAAGGTAATAGAATATTATTAAATTTTTTCAAAACAGAAAGTTTATCTTAGCTTTTTATGAGAAATTGAATTTTTTTACTTTTAATTCTTTCTAATGAAATAGAATTTAGAATTTAACATTTTATTAATTATTCGAAAAACATTATTATTAAAATAAAGCTTTAATGCACATATTAAAATTAATTTAAAATATTCATCAAGTTTTCATTTTATGTAAAGAATCCTTATATAGATTCTCTTAATTATTTAATTACAACTATATGTTCATATACAATCAGCTAAACTGAAATAATTTAAATATTTAAAGCTTTTTAAACCTCATATTTATTTTCAAAACTTAGTTAGTTAATAAAATTTTCAAAATAGTTCATTTTATTTATTAATAGTTAGTATTTTAAAAGATATTTAGATTAAAAATTAAATGTTTTATTTTCTTAAGTAAGTTAAAATAGACATTCTTCTATTTCTAAAATAGTATTAATTAAGTTTTCTTAGTTGTTTTTCTTAAAGTATAATTCAATATTGTTTTATTCTTAATAGTATTTAATATTATCATAAGATAAAGACAATATGTTTGTTTATTCATTAGAACTTGGAGTTATTACTGTTTTTTACTATAAATTTTAATTCTAAGATATATTTAAAAAATCTTATTAAGATTATAATTATTCATTTATTTGAGGCTTATTTGAGCTTATATTATTTGAATTATTAGTTTCGAATTCTTCAAAGTCTTTATTATTATCATCAAAGTATTATTATTCATTATTTTAATAATTAAAAGTCGCACATAACTATTATTTTAAAAGATTATTTGCTTATTCTTATTGATAATTAATTGGAGTTTACTAACTAATTTAAAATTAATTACCTAATTTATCTTAAAGAAGTTAAATTATTAAATTTTATTTCTCAGAATTCTATTTTTAAGAATTCTAAATTTGTTAAACTAATTAAGATTTGTTTAGATTATTTGAAATTTAAGATAGATTTAATTATTGGTCTTGCTAAAAATCGAAATCAGTTTAATTAACACTATTAAAACTATCATTTATATTAATCCATTAACTGTATTGGTTTCTTGAATTCTTTTATGTATTATTTGAATCACCTGTTAATTGTTAAAAACTATTGTTTTTTTGAGAATCTTAAAAGTTAGTATTTTATAAAATTTATTTTTTGTTTTCATTTTTCTTAAAAAAAGTATTATTTTAGATATTGTTTTAATTCCTGAATTATAATCTTTAATTAAAATGTAAATCTTAATAAGATTTGTAAGAATTTAATTGATTTAATAGCTTTTACTACATGAATTATCTGTTTTGGTTTTCTATTAAATTATATTATTGTAATCTTTCTTATGATTATTACATATATTTATCTATCTAATTTTTAAAGATTAATATTTAAAAGTAAATATATTAAAAAAAAATATAATATATTTTCTAATTTTTATTTTTTTAAAAATTTTTGTTTTAATA